TATATATATATATATATATATATATATGTATACACACATGCATTGTGTGTTTATTATATATCTTATTTACATGTGTACAACACTTACAATATTTGTGTGTTTATATATATATATATATATATATGTATGTATGTATGTATGTATGTATGTATGTATGTATGTATATATGTACATAGATGTATGTGTGTCCATCATATATGTTTATTTATTTATATGTGTGTGTGCATTTTGTCTGTGTCTTGTCCATCGTTTGGTAATTCATTTTCACAAGTGTAATGAAGTCATATCTTTAAGACAATCTGACAAATATGATTATCATTATCTCCTGACAGAAAGCGAAAGGAATGAATAATGGGAGAAGTGAAAGAAAAAGATGCCATTCTCGATTGGACAACGCCCTGACAAACAGCCAATAAGAATGGACAAACAAAACACTTTACATTTTCCCTATCTGACTCCAACCTCTCTTTTTCAATTTCTCATTCTGTCCCCCACCCCTCTCTCCCTCTTCCGCTTTCTTTCTCAGTCTCTCTGATTCTGCCCAGTGGAACTTCCATATTGCCATTTTTACAAAGACAGGAACTTTTCTAAAAACATCTGATATCCATTTAATTCTTCCATCATTTTGGTGTGACCTGAGGACACTGGGTTTTTGGTTCAAATTCAACTCTCTCCTTTGCTGTCTTTTTTTTTCTTTTTTATCTCTTTCTTTTTACTCATGTTTATTTGTTCTTTTCTTTTTCTCTAATCTCATTAACTTCTTTTTTCCTCAGAATTTCTCTCTTTTGCTCTCATCTTCTCTCTACCTTAGCATTTGTTCTCTCTTTTCTCCTCAGATCTTCTCTCTTTTGCTCTCACTCTCTCTCTACCTTAGCATTTGTTCTTTTCTCCTCAGATCTTCTCTCTTCTTCTCTCACCCTCTCTCTACGTTAGCATTTGTTCTCTCTTTTCTCCTCAGATCTTCTCTCTTTTGCTCTCACCCTCTCTCTACCTTAGCATTTGTTCTCTCTTTTCTCCTCAGATCTTCTCTCTTTTGCTCTCACTCTCTCTCTCTACCTTAGCATTTGTTCTTTTCTCCTCAGATCTTCTCTCTTCTTCTCTCACCCTCTCTCTACCTTAACATTTGTTCTCTCTTTTCTCCTCAGATCTTCTCTCTTCTTCTCTCACCCTCTCTCTACCTTAACATTTGTTCTCTCTTTTCTCCTCAGATCTTTCCTCTTTCTGTCTTTTTCTCTAATCTCATTAACCTCTTTTTCTCACCTATTTTCTTTCTCTGTAATTTCTTTCACCTCTTTCTTTTGTCTTTCTTTGCCTTTCTTTCACGTTTTTCTTTTTTCTCTCTTCCTCTCACTGAATTCTCCTTTCCTCATGTGGAATATTCATCATTTTTCTTTTTCTCTCCATGTTCTTATATTGTCTTCTTCCTAACAACTATTTCTCACATCTATCTCTCTTTCTCTTTCTGTCTACCTTTCTTTGATTTATTTTCTATCTCCCTCTCTCTCTCTCTCTCTCTTTAATTTCTTCCCCATTGTTCTCTTTTCTCTCTCCCTATCTGCCTTATTGCTTTCTTTTCTTTATTTTCCACATTTCTCTCTTGCTCTCCCTCACTCTTTCATCCTCTCTATCTGTTTACCTACCTCTTCACGGATTTTCCCCCCTCTACCTTCCATTTTCTCACCCTCTGTTTTCGTTTTCCTACCTTTCAATGGATTAACCCCCATTTCTCTCACTCTTTCTCTCTCTCACTCTCATTTTCTTACTTTTCATGGATTTTCTTTCACTCTCTCTTTCTATGGATTATGCCCTGTTCCACTGTCACACTCTCTTTCTCACTCACCCTACTTATGTCTCTATTTATTCCTTACTCTCTCCCCTAAATTCTAGTTTTTCTTTTTGTCTTTTTCTTTTCTCTCTCTTTAACACAATTTACTTCAGCTTTCTTTCTTTCATTCCTGTTCATTTTTCCCTTTGTTTCCTAATTTTTCGTTGTCTGACATTTCCTCTTCATTTTTTTCTCATTTGCTTTCTTTGTTTTTATTTCTTAATAATTTTGTATTTTTCTTCTTTTTTTACTTCTTTGCTATTTCCTTTCTTTATCCACCTCAGTTTCTCAATTTAAATCTTACTCTCTTTTCCTTTCTCTAAATTTAGTCTTTTTTGACCACCTCTATATTCAACCATTTTTTCCTCTCTAACATCATCTACCAAGTGTTCCAATAAATTGGACTTAAGATAAACCTTTCCAAAACAGAAACTATGATCTGGGATTGGAATAAAAGCAGTGATGACATATATGCTGAATCCATCATAAAAATTCAGTATGTGGAATTAGTAAATACTAAACACTTCAAAGATATTGGTGTACAGATTAGTTATAACAAATTTTGTAGAGGAGATAACTATTTATATTATTGGAACTGTTGTCCACATCTTTATTGTCATATTCCCAACGTTTGGCTATTGTATGTTCTGGCCTTCTTCAGATGATATACACTGTAATGCCAAACTGAATTTTTGTAACTGAGTTATTAAAAACATCAGTAGAAAACCAGAATTGATTTAAAAACAAGTTTATTACCTTTTGATACAAGGGAACATAATGCAGAATAGAAACTAGGGAAGAGAATATTTAGCTAATGGCTAATTGTTTTCAGCTTAGCCTACTGCTGCTACTGATACTACTGCTACTCCTCTTTATGTAGGAGCATTTTTATGTCTTTCTTCTGACGGCTGTGTCCAAACTTGTAGGGAAATATTCTCCCTAATAGCACGAACCCTTTATTTTATCCATTAAGGTAGATTGTGTCTTGGACCAAAGAGTTTTGAAACAGTCATGCCTATGCAATCCATCATATGAGCTATTGTAACTGACTTATCAAAAACAACAATAGAAAACCAGAATTGGTTTAACAAGTTTATTACCTTTTGGTAAAGGGGAACATAATGTAGAATAGAAACTAGGAAAGAGAATGCTTAGTCATGAATGACTTTTTTTCAGCAAAGGCTATGGCTGCTATTGCTTCTTCTCTTACTCCTCTTGATGTATTTATATATTTTCTGATATAACATAATTACTTTCCTAACACCCTAAGAACACAATAAGATATATAGATATGAATGAGTAAAAGATCAAATGCAGATCAAATATGGATCAGAATTAGACAATTGGATATGATAAAAATCAAATAGGAAAATGTTGTAACTAAGTTATTGAAAGCAACAGTAGAAAACCGGAATTGGTTTAATAACATAATGTAGAATAGAAACTAGGAAAGAGAATGTTTAGCCTTGAATGACTAACTGTTTTCAGCAAAGGCTACTGCTCTGCCTGCTACTCCTCTTGATGTAGGAGTATTTTTATGTCTTTTGTCTAACGACCGAGTCCAAACTTGTAGGGAAATATTCTCCCTCATAGTACAAACCCTTTATTTTATCCACTGGGGTAGATTGTGTCTTGGACCAAAGAGTTGTGTGTTCAATATCTAGCCACAGGAGAGGTGAACAAAAAACTTGGAGAGTTGAGTTACCAAAGGGAATTAACTGAAACTGAGATATCCATCAGAGGCATGGCACATGGAACTAGAACATTCTAACCCAGTGGATGAAATAAAGTGTTCAGTTCAAAATTCTAAAATATATCTCCTGAAGAAGGCTGGCGTGTACAATGGCTGAAATGTTGGAAATATGAAAATATAGATAGGGACAACAGTCCGAACAATATAGCTAGTTACAATACCTCATCTCAAAAATATAGACAGACGTTGAAGGTGAATATGGCAATAAAGATGAGAACAACAGTCTGAACAATGTAAATAGTGTAAATAATTACAATACCTCATCTCAGAAATATAGACAGATTTTAAGGTGAATATGGCAATAAAAATGAGGACAACAGTCCAAACAATGTAAATAGTGTAAATATCTCTTCTCAGAAATATAGACAGATTTTAAGGTGAATATGGCAATAAAAATGAGGACAACAGTCCAAACAATGTAAATAGTGTAAATACCTCTTCTCAGAAATATAGACAGATGTAGAATATTGGGAGTTTTGCCCAACACTACAGATTTTTACAAACCAAAGCATTAATTGGAAACTCGAGTCAAGTTCTTAAATAGCCGCATCAGATTGAGGTTTTCATATGCATGTCATGCATGACACCAAAGTTGTTCAGAAATATCTAAACTGTCAGCTGTATAGAACCACTTTCTCAGATCAATGGCTCAAAATGGCTTTCAGTGAGTGAAACTTGTAGATCTTAGAAAAGACCATTCTTCAAACTATGTGGATTAGCGCAACAGAATCAAAGACAGAGACAAAGATCTGTATCAATTAATAGAAACAACATCACTTGAGGACTTTCAATAGCAGCGACAGCTAAAAATGAATAGCACATGTAGCTGGGAGAGAAAATAATAAGATAATCCATAATTTGACATTCCACACTATTTCAAAGAAAAGGGTAGGAAGGAAACCTACATCAATACTGGAAAGAGCAATAATAACTACTTAACTTGAGAAAACTTTTTTTCCTGACAAAGATTTTTTCAATAAATGTTGAATGTTTCCTTATCAGGAAAAGGCTAATATTACCATAATGTCTCATTATTTTATCTCTTTTTCTAACTTCTAGTCTAAAGTATTTTCAATATTTTTTTTTATATATAACTATATCTTTCCTAATAGATTTTTATTTTGGGTTTCCTTGTTAATCTTGCTTTTCTCCTAAGATCTTCTTTCTTCTGCTCTCACCCTCTCTCTACCTTAGAATTTGTTCTCTCTTTTCTCCTCAGATCTTCTTTCTTTTCTCCTCAGATCTTCTCTCTTCTGCTCTCACCCTCTCTTTACCTTAGAATTTGTTCTCTCTTTTCTCCTCAGATCTTCTCTCTTCTGCTCTCACCCTCTCTCTACCTTAACATTTGTTCTCTCTTTTCTCCTCAGATCTTCTCTCTTCTTCTCTCACCCTCTCTCCCTTAGCATTTGTTTTCTCTTTTCTCTTCAGATGTTCTGCTCTCACCTTTCTCTACTTTAGCATTTGTTTTCTCTTTTCTCTTCAGATGTTCTGCTCTCACCTTTCTCTACTTTAGCATTTTGTCTCTCTTTTCTCTTTAGTTTTTCCTTCTTTTATTTTTCTTTTGATATCCTTACCATCTTAGCTTTGTTTTCTTTTCTTTCTTTCTATCTATCTATCTATCTATCTATCTATCTATCTATCTATCTATCTTTCCCAATCTTTCATACTTTTATTTCACTCTTTCTTTCTCTCTCCTTCTCATCCAATGTTCTTTTATTTCCTCTTTTTTTCTTAATCTTATTTCTTAGACAATGTTTTCCTCTTCACTCTCTCCTATTATAAAGAGGTTATTCTTTTTTTCTTTCTTTATCAATCTTACTGAGTATCATTTCTATTTTTTTCATCTCTTTCACTCAGTATGACTCAATTTATTTTTCTCTATCAACCTTATTTTCCCTTCTTTTTCTTTAAAATGGATGCTTTTGCTTAACCTTTCTTTCTCTAAGGTTTACATTTCCACTTCTGTATTAATATTTGCATTTTTTCTTCCTGTCCTTTTTCATTTTTCCTTCTTTCTTTCCTTCTTTCTTTCCTTCTATATCCTTTCTTTCTCTTTAACTTTATCTCTGTATTCTTTCTTTATTTTAATTTTTTCTTTCTTTTCTACTATAGTCTCTTTTCTTTCTTTTTCTTTCTTTCTTTCTTTCTTTCTTTCTTTCTTTCTTTCTTTCTTTCCTTCTTTCTTTCTTTCTTTCTTTCTTTCTGTCTTTCTTTCTTTCTTTCTTTCTTGTTTTCCAATCTTTTTCTTTTTCTGTTTATTATACTTTTTTTCCATACTTTTATTTTCTCTTTTCTTTTCTGTCTTTCTTTCTTTTTTCAGTTTCTCTATATTCTTTATTCTTTCTTTCATTCATTCTTTTTTCCTCTATTTATTTTCCCCTCTTTCTCTTTCATTCTTTGTTTTACTCACTTTCTCTTTCTCTTTTTATTTTTCTCTCTTTCTATACCACTCTTTATTTAACTCTTATCTTCTCTTTTCCTCTTTACTTTCTTCTCTTTCACTTTCCCTCTGTATTTTACTATCTTTCTTTTCCAATCTTTATTTCTCTATCTTTCTTTTTCTCTCTTTATTTTCATCTTTCTTTTCCCCCTTTTATTTTAATCTCTCTCTCTCATTTACTCTTTATTTCCCTATCTTTCGCTTTTTTCTTCTCTCTTTTTCCCTTCACTTCTTTACTTTCCTCTCTTTTCCCTCTTCTTATTTTCTTATCTTTCTCTTCCCCTCTTTACTTCCAACTCATTCGCTTCTCCCTCTTTACCTCCCCCTCTTTCTCTTTCCCCTCTTTACTTCCCTTTCTTTCTCTTCACCTCTTTACTTCCCTCTCATTCTCTTCCCCCTCTTTAGCTCCCTCTCTTTCGTTTTCCCTCTTTACTTCCCTCTCTTTTTCTTCATCTCTTTATTTCTCGCTCTTTTTCTTCCCCTCTTTACTTCCCTCTCATTCTCTTCCCCACTTCACTTCTCTCTCATTCTCTTCCCCCTCTTTAGCTCTCTCTCTTTCGCTTTCCCTCTTTACTTTCCTCTTTTTCTCTTTTCCTCTTTACTTCCCTTCCTTTTTCTTCATCTCTTTACTTCTTTCTCTTTCTCTTCCCCTGTTTACTTCCCTCTCATTCTCTTCCCCCTCTTTACCTCCCTCTCTTTCGCTTTCCCTCTTTACTTGCCTCTCTTTCTCTTTCCCATTTTACCTCCCTCTTTTTCTCTTCCTCTCTTTACTTCCCTCTCTTTCCCTTTCTTTGTACTCTTAATCTGATAACATGAAGCAGAACATATTTTTACACTGAGAAAAAATCACTTCTTTATAATTGTTAAAGTGAATACCCAACAAACACACACTCACCTCTTGCCAGTACCCTGCCTGCCCTACATCAGCGCACACTGCCTGGAGGCCCCAGTCCGTTTCCACCTATCCTTTTTGGAAAGTTTGGCACAAGCTATAAAAACGCAGAAGAAGTTATGCAAGACAAATGAATTATATATCTTGGTAAAAATTTTCAGGAAATCAATGCCCTGAGGTAAGATATTAAAAATCTTCAGAGTAATGGCAGCTAAGTTTAAAAAATATTAAGTACAACATCAAGGAAACATAGGCAAACACAAAAGTAAAACTGACTTCTTTGAGATATTTGTTTATTAGCTTATCTGGTGTCTAAATACTTTGTGTTTTACACTGTATGATTTAGTCTACACCTGCACTTACATGCATACATGTTCAGTAAGCTATATTTTTATCATGCAATCTATAGGAATCTGTCAAGCATTGATGTAACGCAAAAGACTTTTGTAGAAAAGAATGTGGCAAAATAAATATACAAAAAAGAAAAGAAGTAAGTACAAAAACAAAGTATAGGAAAATAATTTTAAAAAATCTGTCAAAATATATAAAGGTCAGCAAAATGAATGAAAAATAAATAAATAAATATTTAAAACAAACACAAACAATAAAGCAAAGAAAATATTATATATATTTTTAATTTTATGTATTTACTTTTTAAAAAAATGTTATTTATTTATTTTTTGGGTTCCTAAAAGCATTATGGTTGGTCTGTTGTTCTGTCGCCCGATTGCAACTCGAAGAAGCAAAAATATTTTTACAACAAAAACTTATACATAAAGTCTGAAAATCAAATTTGAAAACTTACTGATGAAAATAAAATTCCAAAACGAATTGTAAGGAAAGTGAAATCTTTTCTTTTGATAGATTCTAATTCCAGACTTACTGGTTGTTCTGCTTCAATAACTTGAAAAAAAAAAATGTTTTTATTTCTTTTAAAACAACAGATTTTATATCGACACCTGAGGCACTGACATGGATGACTTTTTAAGGAACAGGATAATGTTTACAAACAGAATAAAAGATTATAATTTGTAGTGAATGAAAAATGAAATCAAATAAAGATTGTTAAGAGGAGACTCCATTGTTTGATGGTTAGTAATCATACAGTAGGCTAGTATAGTGATTCCAATCCTCATCATCTTCCTCACAAATATAACCTTGCACCAGTCTAAACTAAGCTTGAGCCAGCTTTGTTATTATATATATCTTCAAGTACTGCCAGATGTTGGCATGTTTTTTTTTTATTTTAATCAATTCACCCCAGGCAAGGCAATAATGCCACTAAGACACAAAAGCCTAACAGAAATGAAAGAGAATGAGAAGACTTTAAACCTCTACTCCTGTTCAAAAAACTGGGAGGAGTGTGAACCTGATGATAAGCAAATTTATCTACTCCTATTGAGAGGACAAAAAAAACATATAGTAAATAAAATTTCAGAGTTTAAGTGAACATGTTAGAAGTATAGAGTTAAAGTAGACTTAGGATGGAACCAGAAACAAAAGACAAGATAGGAGTGTGAACCAGGCTATAAAAATTTTTTTAAATTTAAAAGAAAATGCTTAAATTAAAAAATATATATATTTAAAAAATATAATGCATTAATTAATCACAAACTATAATAAAAGGAATAATAATTACATTATTTGACTCTATAAGCATAGAAATGAATAGAATATGGTGACCAGTAATAAGGAGTGCCAGAGAAAAACAATGAATAACAACACAAAATTGCAATATAAGCTTTGGTAAAAATTATGCAATAATAATGGAAAAAATGCAATATGAGCACTGGTACAAAATATTGTTGCTGAGACTTTAGGTTTATAAGTGCCAGAAATTCATACCCTGATGTCTTCAAGGACACATGGCCCAGTGGATAAAGATGTTGGTTCAATCCTGTGATTAGACCCAAAGTGTTGTGAGTTCAATACCAAAAATGGTGAACCAAAATACTTGGAGAGTTGAGTTAAAGGAAAATAATTGAGAGGCATGAAACTAAAAAAATCTACCCTGGTGGACAAAATGAAAAGTTTGGTTCAAAATTCCAATCACCTGAAGAAGGCTGTAACATACAACAGCCAGAACATTGTGAATATGATAATGAAGATCAGGATAGCAGTCCAAATAATTTAAATAATAATTACATTACAAAAAAAAAATTCAAGAAAATTTACTTAATTTAGGAGAGTTAACTTATTGACCTGTTTATTTTGCACCTTTTTTTTTTTTATAGTTTAATACCGACTCCCATCCTCTATCAAGTGCAGGAGGTCTATCATTTTTAAGTGCATTCTTATTTTCAAGAGCTACAGATTGGAGATATCAAAATCAAGTAAGTACACCCTTTTAAAGACCTGGGAAGAGTTTTAACAGACAATGGGAAAACAGATAATAAAATCCAAAGCTGCCTTGGAATAGCAAAAGATGCCTTCCAAAATTCATAAGAAATAGAAAAGAATTCACTAGAAACATAGAAAAAGTACACAACTGTTATGTAACATCAGTCTTCATGTATAGTAGTGAATGCTGGGAAAATGTCGTCACAGATGAAAAGGAAACTTAAGGCAACTGACCATAGCTTTACAAAAGGATGCCGAAAATACCATGGCCAGAACATATGAGTAATGAGGAAGTTTTAAAGAAAATGAAAACAAAAAGGCTACTTAAAATCAGAAAGAGAAATTTCTAGGACATATAATTAGGAAAAACCGTTTGGAGAATTTGACACTCACAGGACATACTGAAAGCAAGAAGAGCAGAGGGAAATAATAAGTAAAATACAGTTGTTTATATAGCTGTGTGTAAATTTGTAAGTGTGAATTCATGTTGTTCACCATTCAACAACTAGGAGTGAACTTATATCAACCCCCTGATGCACCATGCTTCTTTTATGGTCTGATGTGGCATTGAATGCGATATCTGTTCTCTCATCAGGCCTAACTAGGTTTCTCAGTAATGTAACCTTTCTATATGAATGTGTCTGGGCATGTATATATGTCTATAATGGCAGGTTACTCTTGTTTTTTGAGCACACATGTCTGCTAGAACAGGTGGCTAATCCTTGCTGCAGACACCTGCTCAAGTACATGTGTGTTCATTCAATACCTACAGAGCTCATTTGGGGTTTACACTGCAACTATGTTGCAAAGGCCTTTGCTACAGTTTCTAGGAAAGAGCTCATAATCTGCCATCATCAGCAGTTTGAACAATGACAGGACACTCAAATCATTCGGTCACAATGACTTGTTACTTCATGTTAACACAACCATCTTACACACAGTTTTATCTACCCAATTAAAATCATAAAGCTTGTGTCATTATGCCCCGGAAAGGGATATATTTGATCGAAGTAGCTAAGTGGTTTTGGCTACTGTAACCGAGTAGAACAATCTAGAAGGTAACACTAATGGAACTGGTACTCGTCATAGTCACAGTCACAGTCAATAGGTGTAAGCAATAGGTGTAGACCAATGGGATAGCCAATAGCGTAGTCCAATGGGCGTCATTATTCTGTACCTCTACATCAACCTGTATTTATGGCTGACAGCAGCCAATCATATTCCTGTGAGGGGGGAAAACAGGTGTACGCATATTCATTACATCGAGTTAAAAGGACTGCAAGCTTGGATTGTTTTCCCCAGACCAAGAGTATCAAGAAACCACTTTCCTGACAAATCGACCATAGCAGGATTCAAATCAAGGTATAATGGCTGGAAAGAAAACTTACATCAACACAATATCGCACAAATGTATACACATCACACAGACTCACAAAGAAGTAAAAGGATAACATACACTTAACACATACATCCCATTCCAGCAACCAATAAAACAGTCAAAATGACCAAGTGGGGAATTCTTAGTCAGGAATTTGCCATCCTCTGTCTTAAAAACAACTTGAAAGAGCCTGTTTGACCAACACAAGAACTGACCAAAATTAACAATAAAGAAAGAAATGAAAAATACAGGTAAAGTTCACTTTCTTCAGAAACAGTCACTCACTCCTGTAGTTTACAGCTACTAACAAGCAGGGATTTTTTTTTCACCTGATGATGGCCATGCTGGCTGAAATTAGTCAAGGAACCTAATTGAAATAATAAAACAAAAAATTATTAATATACAACCCAGTGTGCCTTTATTACTTTTTATTGTAATACAGGGTTGGTATAGATGGAATAAAATTCTGATAACCAAAAACACTATTTTTTTTAAAAAAATGCTCAAAAAAAAGTAGAGGAAATAACATTTATTAAAAAATTATAACATAAGCATGTTATAGCATCACTTCAAAAATAGCCATTTTGTTTCAACACTTCTGGTGTCTTATCAAGTGATGATGCTGATTGCAAAATAAAGAGTTTTTTTGAAAATTCAAAAACAAATCAAACCCCTCAATTACATGACAAGGTTTCCCTATTGGGGGGTTTGATTTGTTTTGAATTTTCAAAAAACTTTATTTTGAATCAGCATCATCACTTGATAAGACACCAGAAAATGAAACAAATGGCTATTTTTGTAGTGATGTCATAACATGCATGTGATATAATTTTGAATATTATATATATATATATATATATATATATATATATATATATATATATATATAGATAGATAGATAGATAATGATTTCACCTCAAACAATAATATTGTGTCTCATATTGCTTTGGAATTTATGTCCAGACAAATGGAAATAATTTTGATACACCCTGAGATATCAATGATAAATATAGCGATAATAGTATGGTACCTTATGCTGCTTTGGAATAAATGTCCAGAGAAATGGAAATCAGTGAAAAGAAAATAATTTTGATACACCCTAATAATAAAATTATAATAAAAAAAAATTAGATAAAATTTGAAAAATAAACTTTTTTAATAAGTCTCAGTAATAAGTACTAATATTATTGTAATAATA